CTTCTGCGTGCGTGTGCGTGTGTGTGTGCGAGTGTGTGTTGGTGTGTGTTTTCACTTACCCCGACTCCCCCGCAGGGCAGCATGACGAACATCCGCTGTGACAGAATGCCTGTTGGACACACAGTGACATGCAGCAGATTAGCTGTCATTCTCACACTCCACACACACACATCCAAGCCTTTAGTCACGGAGAGTGTGTATGTGTGTGTGTGTGTGTCTGCTGTGAGAAATGAGGTGTTGTGCTGGCCAAGACTGCAGTTGACTCACGTCTATCTGTGTGTGTGTGTGTGTGTGTGTGTGTGTGTGTGTGTGTGTGTGTGTGTGTGTGTGTGTGTGTGTGTGTGTGTGTGTGCGTGTGTGTGCGTGTGCATATGTGTGTGTGTGTGTGTGTGTGTTACCGGCTAGTTTGCGGTTGTCCAGTTTGAGTCTGTTGAGCGGGTTGGTGCCGTACAGCAGGACGTGTCTCTCCGTGTGCACAGACTGCAGCTCCTCTAGGGTGGCTTTTCTCCCTCGAATACTCTGAAGAGGAAGCAGAAGACATCAAACAGCGTCAGTGTGTGCTTCAGTGTGAGTGTGTGTTGATGCTTCTGTCAGTCTATGTGGCTCCTGATCTAGAACTCCACATCTATAATCCTCTTAGTCTATGCTGACATGATCTTCAGCAGCTCAAACACTCTAATGGCTAATGGACAGACGGCTGCTTCTCACTCAGGGCTGCTGTTTATGCTAATGAGATGGAGAGATGGGCACTAGTGGGCGGGGCTTTCCCCCTCTGATGACATGTACAAAGGGAGAATGTCAATCAAAGTGTTTCTGCATCACGCACGCACGCACGCACACGCACACACACACACACACACACACACACACACACACACACACACACACACACTGCTGGGGTGAGTTGCATAAAGCGTTTTCCCCCTTTAAAGTCTTCTGATAGTGATGAGGAGTGAAGTTTAAAGGAGGAGAATGGAGACACTAGGACTGGTCAACAGGGATGTCATGTAGACCATATCTGCTGTAGATGACTGTGCATGTTAATTAAAGCGTCACATTATGAGGAAAATGCTGACCGGTTAAAGAGTGTTTGGATATTTGGAGCAGAAGCGAGACTGAGCTGTGAGTGAGAACAGCATTGCTGTAATGCGGTGTGTGATGTTTCAGGAGGATCTGGAGCGCCCTCTGGTGGACAGTAGTGGCAGTACCTCACACTGGCCCCTGAGGCCCCTCTCCTGCAGGCGGGACCAGATGCTCTGGATTCTCCCAGCATGCTCTGGGTGACTGCTGTTGTCTCCGCATGTGCACTGGTGCTTCAGCATTTGGGAGTCATACACCAGACCTGCAAACACACACACACACACACACACATATATACGTATCAGGTCAGTGTGTTTACATGCAGATATTATAGGGTGAGTTCAGTCAGAACTGAAAGTGTCTCGCTCCTCCACTCCTCCACAGCTCATCTCTTATTCTTCAGCTGAGTATTACAGCAGATGTTGAGCACGTGGTGTGTGTACCGGTAGCGAAGCGTGTGGTGTGTGTGTGTTTGGTGTGTGTGTACCGGTATTGAAGTGTGTGGTGTGAGTGTGTTTGGTGTATGTGTGTTTGGTGTGTGTGTGTGTGTACCGGTAGAGAAGTGTGTGGTGTGAGTGTGTTTAGTGTGTGTGTGTGTGTTTGGTGTGTGTGTGTGTGTACCGGTAGTGAAGTGTGTGGTGTGAGTGTGTTTGGTGTGAGTGTGTTTGGTGTGTGTGTGTTTGGTGTGTGTGTACCGGTAGTGAAGTGTGTGGTGTGAGTGTGTGGTGTGAGTGTGTTTGGTGTGTGTGTACCGGTAGTGAAGTGTGTGGTGTGAGTGTGTGGTGTGAGTGTGTGTGTGTGTGTACCGGTAGTGAAGTGTGTGTGGTGTGAGTGTGTGGTGTGAGTGTGTGTGTGTACCGGTAGTGAAGTGTGTGGTGTGAGTGTGTGTGGTGTGAGTGTGTGTGGTGTGAGTGTGTGGTGTGTGTGTGTTTGGTGTGTGTGTGTGTACCGGTAGTGAAGTGTGTGGTGTGAGTGTGTTTGGTGTGTGTGTGTTTGGAGTGTGTGTGTGTGTGTACCGGTAGTGAAGTGTGTGGTGTGAGTGTGTGGTGTGAGTGTGTTTGGTGTGTGTGTGTTTGGTGTGTGTGTGTGTGTACCGGTAGTGAAGTGTGTGGTGTGAGTGTGTGTGGTGTGAGTGTGTGTGGTGTGAGTGTGTTTGGAGTGTGTGTGTGTGTACCGGTAGTGAAGTGTGTGGTGTGAGTGTGTTTGGTGTGTGTGTGTTTGGTGTGTGTGTGTGTGTACCGGTAGTGAAGTGTGTGGTGTGAGTGTGTGTGGTGTGAGTGTGTTTGGAGTGTGTGTGTGTGTACCGGTAGTGAAGTGTGTGGTGTGAGTGTGTTTGGTGTGTGTGTGTTTGGTGTGTGTGTGTGTGTACCGGTAGTGAAGTGTGTGGTGTGAGTGTGTTTGGTGTGTGTGTGTTTGGTGTGTGTGTGTGTGTACCGGTAGTGAAGTGTGTGGTGTGAGTGTGTTTGGTGTGTGTGTGTGTGTTTGGTGTGTGTGTGTGTGTACCGGTAGTGAAGTGTGTGGTGTGAGTGTGTGGTGTGAGTGTGTTTGGTGTGTGTGTGTTTGGTGTGTGATGTATGTGTACCGGTAGTGAAGTGTGTGGTGTGAGTGTGTGTGTATGTGTGTGTGTGTGGTGTGTGTGTGATGTATGTGTGTGTGTGTTTGGTGTGTGTGTGTTTGGAGTGTGTGTGTGTGTGTACCGGTAGTGAAGTGTGTGTGGTGTGAGTGTGTGGTGTGAGTGTGTGTGTGTACCGGTAGTGAAGTGTGTGGTGTGAGTGTGTGTGGTGTGAGTGTGTTTGGTGTGTGTGTGTTTGGTGTGTGTGTGTTTGGTGTGTGTGTGTGTACCGGT